TTATGGTTGAAGAAGGTCAAAATCTAATTGAGTTCCAGCATACTGGATTCTGTCTCAGAGGACAGAATCCCAATCTTTGAATTGCTGCACTCCACAAGTATGTAAGTCTCTAGTCTAGTCTTTGAAGTGTTTTTTTTTCTTTAATTAAAAAAAAATCTATTCCTTGAGTCTCTGCAGAAAAGTTCAACTCAAATCTTAATGTTGAAAGAGTCACTGAATTCAGGAATATGCATTTGAACACCCTTGGATTTTAAATCAAAGAACCAAAAATTTTACACAATAATTGTACCTTTCTGTTCCACGATTTCCATTAGGAAAGCTTCATGTTTGCACTATAGATTTCTCTATCTCCCTGACAATGTGCCCTTTACTCTGAAGGATAGAACTGGAATTAAAGTGTAAATTAAAAATGAGTGAATGGTTGAAAGGTTGAAGAGGAAACGGGAAAGAGAAGTCTTACATCCGTTGAAAAGCTTATTCCAGTGTCAACTGATATAAGAAGATGACCCCTGCCAATGCCAGCATAGGTTGAATCAGATACTAATATTACTAGCACTTTAGTAGAGTAAAACAGATATAGATATGCTCAAGTGTGGATATTATTATGGCTTACAGGGCACATATAATATATTGTATCCTATATATCATTAGTTATATGATGATTTAGAGAATAAAGGTGCTATTACCTAAGACTTTAAGATGACACATTTCTTTGTCATCAGATGCATTTGAATATATTTCATAACTTCCACTTTTAAACATAAATCAAGTAGTCCACAGAAATGCCACATTGTTTCCAAAATAAGGCTGTTAAAAATGCCTTTTATAAAATAAAAGCAGTACATATTCTTGTATTATACAGCATCTGAATATGTTCAGTGGTGAATTATTTATATTGTCAAATGTATTTGACAACAGTGTGTTTATGCTATGGCATCCCAGATGTACAATCTCTGCATGATATTGAAACATGTAAATATTAACTATCTTGACTTCTGTTTTATAAAATAATATTTATAACGGGTTTACAATATTCATATGTAGGATTTTTTTAAACTTCTATAGCAAGTGCATGCTCAGATAAGGATAGCTGTCAATATTGTAGTCACAGTGAAAAGCATAAATTTAACTCTCAGTCATATCAGTAGTTCTGATTCTATACTGAAAAATCATGAAAATGCAATTCTAGACAAGCAAAAAGCAATTAACCACAGGAAACAAAATCAGAACAATGCCTCCTCCAGTTAAAAGTCTCCTAATTTAGTTGTTAAACAAGACATCATGGAACACTAAGTGCAATTCCAAAGTGAAGTTTGCAAACAGCAACTCATTACTATTGGTATGAGGAATATTAAAATATATCAAGAGCTCATTAGCATTACTTATAGACATACTAAGTTGTGCAGTAATTGTACCTTCCTGGGTCCAATCATATCTTTGAATGATTGACATTAAAAAATCAGTTGCATTTATCATATAAAATAACTAGGACTCATATCGGGTAAACACTATCTCAGTTTAAGATGTTTGGGTAAGAAAACAAAAGGAAATTGCATTATTGCAAGGTCATGAGACTTCAGATTAAATTGATTTTAAAGGTTACTTTCAATGGGATCGGTAATACTATAAATAATTGCTTTATCTCAAAAGTAAATCTGTTTCTGAGATTAGAGGGAACCAGGTCACTGATCCAAGGCCACCTTTCTTTGTTCAATTTTTAAAACCTCCAAAACTACTTTTGAGTTCAAATCTTTGGTAGTTTCAAAATTGTTTTAAAATGTGAAAATGAGAGACAGTTTCCTAACACTAATCAGTAATACACATGTGCTAATCATGTCATTCAATTTTAAATGTTGAGGAAATAAAATAACAAGTTATTATGCATGCATTTTTAAACACGTAATTGAAATGGTTACAACTTTTCCCCCAGAATGTTGATAAAGCACCAAGAATTTTCTACAGATCCAACTCTTTACTGAATTAGTAGCTGGTATGTTTAGTTAAGGGATTCATTAAGATAATTTTTCAGTGGGTCTGCAGTGATATCTTGCAGACCTACAGTGTAGAAAAGCCTTGTTTTACAGTAAATATTTTAAGGGGAGGGGGAATCTCGCACACAAGGGCCGCATCCAGATGAGTGCAGCTGTGCATAGGTAGACAAGGTTCCTTGGGTGAATTTGATATCTTTTATTAGACCAACTCAAATGGTTGGAGAATAGTCAAATGGTTGACGAAGGGTTTTTGAACCCGAAAGCTTGCTTAATAACTATTCTCTAACCTTTTGAGTTGGTCTAATAAAAGATATCAAATTCACCCACGGAACCTTGTCTGCCTA